AATCTTGATTCCAGCTTGCTGCTGAACCAAAATAAATGAACAAGCCCATTCCATTGAAAGAAAATATGGTTTTCTAGGATCAAAGTAACTGATCAAACTTAAATTCTAAAAGCTTTTCTTCCCTTGCTTCTTTGACATTTCTGATCCAAGCCAGCAAGAATACTCCCTCATTCTTTTTTAACCATTGCTTTAAAATTTTCATGAGAATTTCTGCTTCCAGGTTGGGTCATCTTGCAGTTTTTTTCATTTGCCTGCATGTGTAGATAACTAAAACCAACACAAATCTTAGTAATTCTGTTCCATGTCTTGTCTGTTCCCCACCTATCCCAGTATACCTGCACATCCCACTAGTAGTCCCTTCAGCCTTCCCTAAACTACCAGTAAAACCCCAAATAGACTGGTTTGAATTTTAACTGCTTTCATTTTTCCCTGCCAGTCTTCTTTCTATGGGTAGCAAACCCCTCCCCCTCAACGAAGGTAAGCTGCTGAAAGAATAGAGGAGGAATTATTTTCTTCTCAGTTATTCAGTCCCTGAAGTGTTGATTAGAAGGAATTAAACTTTCGCAGTGAGCTCCAGATTTCATATATGCTATTAATTTGAGATTTCTCTTGGAGAAGGAAATGGCAACCCACTCCAGTATTCTTGCCTGGAAAATCCCATGGACAGAGGAGCCTGGTCGGGCTACAGTCCTTGGGGTCGCAAAGAGTCGGGCACAATTGAGCAAATTCGCTTCACTTAGTAATTTAAATGTTCAGAAAATAAGTTATGATTTTGCTGAATGGACAGTGAACTGGCCAGAATTTTTACCTTAGTGGCTGCATAGCTGTATTGAAGATTAATGTGTAACACTTGTGATGAGGCACTAGTGAAGACACGACAGCACTATGCTTTCAGTAAAACTGAATGTATAGTAATAATATGTGTATTGAAGTGGGAGGATGGGTCAGATTCTGTTAGGTTTGGTAAGTTAGAGAATGAATTGGGACTTCCCTGCTGGTCCAGTGGATAAGAATCTGCCTGCCAATGCAGAGGACATGAGTTCGATCCCTGGTCTGGGAAGATTCCACAGGGCATGGAGCAGCTAAACCTGTGTACCCACAACTACTAACCCCACAGTCTAGAACCCTCAAGCCACAACAACTGAGTCTGTGTGCTGCAACTGGTGAAACCAACAGCTGTTGAGCCCATGGACCACAGCTGCTGAAACTGGTGTGCCTAGAGCCTGTGCACAGCAGCTAGAGAAAGCCCATGAGCAGTGACGAAGACCCAGCACAACAAAAAATAATAAAAAGAATAAAGGATGAAATGGCCTCTGTCAGGATCATTCATTGGAGGAAGCTGGTGTTTATGGCAGGGAAAGTGTCATATCAAGCAGGGTGAAGCAGATTTTTGCTTACATGTGCAAAACCCTTAGGGTTAGGAGTAAGAGCAATATATGGAGTGATTAGAGGAGACTCATGACACATTTACAAGACTAAAGCATTTTTGTTTGCTCTTTAATAGGAAAGAGAGGCAAGCTGGTGGAGGGGTAGTGGTTGTTGAATCTTGCTGTCAGTCTTTGGGTCTAGCTGTTGAAAGCAGCTGTGTGGCTATAACATGCTGTGGAAGCAGGTGTTTCCCCCATGTGGCCTCTTTAGATGTCAGATCCTGATCAGTCATTCATTCTTGCACACTCATTTTTCATATAAACACCTAATAGCAATCTAAGCCTGTAGCCATTGCTGAAGATGGTTTCCTTTGATATTGTTTCCTTTGTAAAGATTTCCTGTTTGGTAGATTAAAAAAAAAAAAAACAAGCTCTAGCTCTGTACCTTCTCCTCCTCAGCAGGGTAAAAGAGTAGAAAGATGATTAATTGTAGATAGAGCGTTCATAGTTCAAAATGACAAATTTTGAACTAATCTAATCAACACTTATATACTTTAAGCTGCTTATTAGGAAGTTTTAAAATCAAGTGGTTTTAATTCATTGCTTGCCCTGTGGCATTCTCCATTCAAAACACAAGCAGAATACTCCATGACTTTCTCTTCTGGACTTTGCTATCCAATCACACCAACATCAGAGCCCATCAATTATTACAGTCTCAATCAACATGTCTTCCTCATTGTGCAAAGAAAGTCTAGTCGTGGGAAAGGATCCGGTGAAGGTCTTTGCCAACAAATTAAAGATACATCAAGAGTCCTCTTTCTAAATAAGTCCCAAAGTACCTGCTCTGTTGAATTGCCTTTGTTGGGATTTTTAGCAACCTATCCTCAGTCTCTTAAGAAAAACAGGTTAAAGTTAAAGACTTCAACTGATAAAATGATTGGGCTTCAAATGTCATAGGTTAGTTGGTAGGGCTTTAAGTGCAGTTGCATTCAAGCACAAATAGGTGCATTTGTTAAGCACCTATTGTGTTTAAGTTAAACCGAATGTTAGGTAATATGAGAGTCAGAGATGAAAAAAAGTATTTTTAAGGAGTTGGGTAGAGAGGGGGTAGACCTCTACTAGAGAGATGTGTGTGTGTGCATGCTCAGTCTTGTCCGACTCTTTGTGACCCTACAGACTGTGGCCCATTAGGCTCCTCTGACAATGCGATTTCCCAGGCAAGAGTACTGCAATGGCTTGTCATTTCCTTCTCCAGGGGATCTTCCCAACCCAGGGATCGAACTCATGCATTGGCAGGCGGGTTCTTTACCACTAGCGCCGCCTGGGAAGCCTAAAGAGATAGGATAGTATGTTTTTAAAGGAGCTAGAAAAATGAGATGTTTATATGTGGAATTAACAAAAAGAATACAAAGTAATGAGGGAATGCAGAGCAGGTGGAGGAGGTTTCTTCCAGGAGACTCAGGAAGACTTGGCAGATGAGGCATTTGTTTTGCATTAGTGAATGAGAGTACTTATTTCTCTTGTCGAAATATCTCTGGTGATGCTGATGATGGCCCTGACCTCTAAGCCCCTTGTGATCACTGGGTGTTTTGCAACCTTAGGAGGGCTGACTAGGAGGTAGAGGCCATAGGAGCTGGCCAGCTGCCAGTCAGTCTAAAAAGGCTCCAGTAGCCAGGAGGTGACAAGAGGATTGGCCTAGTGCTTTTATTGCATTTTATTGCAGTTTAATTTAGTGGCCCTTTCTTGAGTCCCTGCTATATATGAAAACACTGTCTGGAGAATAATATAAATAAAACAATGTCCCTAGTTTACTGACTAGTGGAGGATATAAACACGTGATACAACTAAATATAACATGAGGCTTTGATTGGGCTGTAGAGGTATAAACAAAGGGCCAGGGAAGCGCAGAGGAGGAAGCCACTGACGTGGTGCTTTGTAGTAGGAGTCAGTGAAGGCTTCATACAGGAAGCAATATTTGACTGGGCATTGAAAATAAGTGCTATTTCTAAACTGGCAAGGAAAGGAAAAGGCATGGCACAGAAAGGAAGCAGCATAGAGAAGCACATAAACACAGGATGTGAATGGTCTCGCAGTGCTGGAATGCCCGGGGATGGGCTCGGCATGTAGGGTGGAGCTGGGTGGCTGTGAAGAGAGCTGGACCCTTGTGTGAGCAGAACGGAGCCACCAGATGTTTCTGAGTAAGGAGGAGCATGGTGTGATGTGTGTCATGCTCACTGCTCTCAGTGGGGCGCTTAGAGGCAAGTGAGGGGTAGTAAGCAAGAGTGTCAGTCAAGAAGATGAGAAATAATAAGAGTATGAACTGAGATGGGGGGAATGGAAATGGAAAGGAGGAGGTACTTCAGGACACAGGGTAGAAGCAGTAAAAGTTTACCCCCAGTTTGAAATGGAAATGAGAGGGAGCGAGCGAAGATCCCAGTGCTCCTAGTAACGCAGTGGTAACTCCATGAATGAACATGGGAACATCACTGGAAGAGCAGTTTGATTTTGGAAAATGGAGAGGTTGAGATGTTTGTTTGCACGTATTAGAAGGCCACATCAGGTACTTAAGAGTGGTACCAGGGTCAGAGCTGTAAATTTAGAGAATCATTACCAAACATGTGATTGATGATGGTGGAAGCTATGGGCCCAGAAGAGTTGGTCCTGAGAAAACAGAGGGGAAGCAGTGAAAGTCAAAATCAGCACGTGCCTTACTAGGAAGAAGAAGAAGAAGAGGAAGAAGAAGAGCAAACAGCAAATGGAGGCAGAGTTGTCATTGGGAGTAAAACTAGGAGAGGGAGAGGAGCTTCTGAGAAGTGCTGGGAATGTGGGAATATGGTAGGCCTGGGAAAGGAGGGAGCTTCAGCCTGCCTTACCTGGAGTCGTTGATATAAATATCTATGTGCATAGAAGTATTTCTGAGTCAGTGAGACTCTCCTTTGGCTGCTGTCTTTGCTCATTTAAGTTCTCAGTCTTCCTCTCCACTCTGCACCCCTCCAATCTCCCTTCTGCTCTCTCTTCACTCAGTGGGAGGGGGAGAAATGAAAAGGGGAGGTTGAAGTTAAAATGTAAACATTCTTGGTTTAATTGCAAATAGACTGCATATTCTTTATATTGAATAAGCCATCTTAATGGTAATAAAGTCACTTTGTCTAATTTTTAAGTTCACTGTGTCTCTCGTGATCACAAATGTGTTTGTCACAAGAAGTAAAAATAATCTGAAAGTCGTGGGTCCAGTTGAGTAGGCTTAACATGTATTTCCTGATTCTGATGGGGTCTTGTTATCAGTCTATCCAATTTTGTTTTTGTTCTTAAAGGTACCGCTCACCTCAGTCCAGATTTGTGAAGGAAATAGTACTGATTTTGGTACTGATGTAAACCAATCATGTTTACTTTTGGTTAACCAGATATCTTTTACTTTCCAGTCCATCTGTATCTCTGTTTCAGTGTTATTTTAAATTTAAGTGGCTGGTTATATAATTTCTAAAGGTTCTGTTTCCGCGTTTGATATTCAAACTTAAGGATCCAGAATCTTTTTTTTTTTTTTTTTTTAGGATCCAAAATCTTTATTCTAGTGACTAGAAACTAGTCTTCACTGGTAAAGATCACATGAGTGGTGTCCATTTGTCTTTCTAGATTTTGGCTTCAGTAACCTCTTCACTCCTGGGCAGCTGCTGAAGACCTGGTGTGGCAGCCCGCCCTATGCCGCGCCTGAACTCTTCGAAGGAAAGGAGTATGACGGACCCAAAGTGGACATCTGGGTATGTGATTGCCACCTCTTCTCTCCACAGCGTTAGTTACCCTAGTCTGATGGCAGCTGTTCTCATCCTGGACGAGACTGAGATCTGGATTGCCTGTTCTTTGAATTTTCAAATCTTTGTACAAAGTCTGTTCTCCAACCCTTGTCATATGGACTGAGCCACAGGTTTCCACCTCCCCCTTTGCATCTGCCAAGAAAAAAAAAAATCCCAAGGGCAAGCTTGGATGGATGCCCTTGCTAAGAACAGAAATTATTTCTGTTGTTGACACTTGCCTTCTCCCTAGGATGAGTACTGAGAGAAATTCTAGATATGTTCCCCAAAGTTAATGTCTGGAAGCAAAGAAGAATGCTAACTGTTCTAAAGATGATTGGCCTTGACAATGCCCCATATTATTTCTCATTAAAAAAAAAAGAAAAGGAAATGTTTGTCCCATTATCTTGCGCATGACTCACCACTCTCTTCATCAGTTGAGTTCAGTCGCTCAGTTGTGTCTGACTCTTTGCAACCCCATGGACTACAGCATGCCTAGCTTTGCTGTCCGTCCCCAATTCTTCATACACATACTATAATGACCTCTCTTCTTTCTCTGAGGTGATTAATCAAACATGTTCTCTGTTTGTGATGCAGAGCCTCGGAGTCGTCCTCTATGTGCTTGTGTGTGGGGCCCTGCCATTTGATGGGAGCACACTGCAGAATCTGCGGGCCCGCGTGTTGAGTGGAAAGTTTCGCATCCCGTTTTTTATGTCCACAGGTAAGAGAGATGCCAGCACACAGCTATGACTGGGTTCATGGAACGGTAGACATGCTAAGTTATCACAGAATTGAGTGATGGGGTATAAATGGCCCATTTAACAGGTTGCTGAATTGAACCTGTGGAGGCATGATTCTATAGAAACAGTGACTATAACCTTGCCCTTGTTTGGTTCTGGACTCTACACAGGGCTGCTAGTGTGGTGGGCAGATTACTAAGTCTTTCTGAGTTTTGGTTTTCTCACTAATAAGAGGCTGGCAGTTTTGTGAGGACTGCTACTATGAGAACTAAATTAAATAATGTGTGGAGAATTAATAGGCCCAGCCCATAGTCGCAGAGCAGTAGATAGTCCTGTTTCATCTCTGTTTTATCTCTTGCCCTTTTTCAGGATAATATTTCTGTTGGGTTGGTAAAAAAGTTGATTTGGGTTCTTCCATAACACTTAAATGGTAAAATTTTTTGGCCAACCCAGTATTTACTGGAGGCTCCATTGAGATGTGGTAATAAATGGCAAGGGGAAAGCAGGCTTTGCATTTTAGTCTTGCTGATATTACATTTCCTGCTTCTGTGACATTTATCCCCCCAGCTCAAATAAAAAAGTACTTTTTAAATGAGTGGGCAGTAGCTCTTCGAAAAAAGTAACACTGAAAACAGGCACCCAGAATCTACAGTATCTCATCACCATCTATATGCACACATAAGAAAGGGAGATTCTGGAGACAATGCTCTAAGCAGTCTGTTTAGTTTTGCTTCATCATGGTTTCAGTAAAAGGTACAACCTACAGAGTGTATGTCAACTGGTTTGGGAGCACAGTGTAAGCACATGGGAATTATGTTTTAGAAAGAAAACAAGAAAATAAACATCAGAAATTTTGTTTCTAAAATGCATTTTAGAAAAAAAGCCATGGGAAAGATAAAATAGAGCCAGGCGGCGGGTTAGGGATGGTGGGTGGGTGGTTATTTGTAAAGGTATGGCAGGGAACCCCTTCCCTGAAATACAGACATTTCGGTGAAGACTTCGAGAAGGTGAGGGGAGGGTGTGAGCTGTGCAGTCTGAGGAAGGGCTTTGCAGGCAGAGGGGACAGCGAGAGGGCAAAGGCCTTGGGGAGATAACACACATGAGTGTCTAAAGGAACAGGATGGAAGCCTCTGTGCTAGAAAGGAATGAGAGAGAGGACGAGAGAGGTGCAGTCATAGGGGCAGGATAAAGCTCACTTTGAGGGCCTGGTCAGTCAGTGTAAAGACCTTAGTTTTCACTCTTGAGTGAAATGTGAAAAATCAGAGGATTTTAACAAGGGAATGACATTAGCTGACTTTTGGGTTTTCTTTAACTCTTATTATTTATTTTGAAAAATTTCAAGCATGCAAAAGTATTGAAAGAATTTTATGGTGACTTTTGTTCTTAAAAAAAAAAAAAAAGACCCTGCCAACTCTCTTGGTTGAAAAGTTCAAGGGCTGAAGGAGGAAGACCAGTTAGTAAGGAGATTTTGGTGGCTAGTTCCCAGACTGGAGTGTAGAGGTTGGGGTGGTAAGAAGCCTTCAGATTCAAGAGATAATGCATACTGTGTGGCACCGTTCCAAGCGTTTTGCAAACATTAACTCATTTAATTATTTTAACAACCCTATAAGATACATGAGACTATTAGCCCCCATTTTATAGGTGATAAAGCTGAAACCAGGAGACATTTAGCCATTTTCCCAAGATAACACAGCTACCAAGTGGCTGAACTAGAATTTGAACCTAAGCAGTGTGGCTCCAGCAACATTTATATGGGATTTGATCTGAGAGAAAGAGAGTAATTAAAGATAACTCCAGGGTTCTTGGCTTGAGCAACTGGAAGGATGGATTTACTGCTAATAGAGGTGGGAATGGCTAAAGAAGACTGCTTCCTTTTTGGAGAGAGGTTTTAGATGTGTTCATTTGAGATGCCCATTAGACATCTAAGTTGAGTTATGATATGGGCAGTTGAAATTAGTAGGACTTGATTGGGAGTGGTGGGCTATGGATACACATTTGGGAATGATCAGTGTATAGATAAGATTTAAAGCTCTGAGATAAGATCACACTTTAGGCCATGAATGTAGAGACGAGAAAAGGTCCAAGGGTTAATCTCTGGGACATGCTAACATTCAGAGATCAGGACTGTGAACGGGGATCAGCATAGGAATGGTTAGTAAGGTAAGCCAGAGCGTTTGTGTCCTGGAAAACAAGGGAAGAGGATGTTTCAAGGAGGAGGGAATGAGGAACGGTGTGGAGTGCCCCTGATGGGTCAGATGATAGAACTTGTTGAAGGACAGAGAGGATGAAAAGTGCCCCATAATACTAAGAAAGCATCGAGACAGAAAAACAAGGCAGGCAGCCTCGTGTTGATCAGAGGGTCAGTTTTTTATAGGGTAACTTACTCACAGGGTGGGATCAGGCAGACAGTGATCCAGAAGCATTTGCAGCTGTACTCTACACTGCGAAGGGGACAATTTTCTAGTTAACTTACGAATATAGGGGTATGTGCTTAGAAACAGGAAGTACATTCCTAAGTCAAGATTTATGAATGGGTGACTAGTCTCATGATCACCAGGAATATGTCAGCCAAGATCTTCATCACTATTTGGAGATACCAGAGCATAGAGGCCACCTGGACCCAATGGTCATGAAACAGCGTCTATTAACTACACAGTCCTTGACACAGAGAAGCGATTTACTACACGGCCCGGTCCTGGGGGCACAGTCAGTAGAAAGACAGGAGGAATGGTTAGGGGCCCAAGATAGCATCAGTTAACACTAACAGCCACACAGAACTGAATATCAGATTTAGAAATTTGGAGATCATTGAAGATCTTGAAGTACAGATTTGGTGGTGGAGTAGGAGCAAAGCCCTAATTCATGTAGATACAACCAAGAAAGAATAGAAGGAAATGGAAAGAAAGGAAATAGGCACAACTCTTTCTGGTTTACCCTACAAGGAAGCAGAGAAGGGTGTAGTGGATTGCTCTGACAGACATCACCAGTGCTCTTGTCCTAATCTACTAGATGTCCTCAGTCTTTATCTTAATGACTGCATGGCAGTATTTAGAGCTAAACACTAAAAATTCATCACTGCTTTCTTTCTTTCTTAAAAATAAAGTTTATTTTTTAGAACAGTTTTGGGTTCAGAGCAAAATTAAGTGAAAAGTACAGGGAGCTCCCACGTTCGCCCCCACCCCCTCCCCTCACACTCATAGCTTCCTGCACTATCATTTGTTCGTTGTTGTTCAGTTGCTGAGTCCAACTCTTTGCAACTCCATGGACTGCAGCACGCCAGGCTTCCCTGTCCTTCACTATCTCCCAGAGTTTGCTCACATTCATGTCCATTGAGTCAGTGATGCAATCTAATCATCTCATCTTCTGCCGCCCTTTTCTCCTTTTGCCTTCAATTTTCTTAGCATCTGGGTCTTTTCCAATGAGTCAGCTCTTTGCATCAGGCAGCCAATGTATTGGAGCTTCAGTTTTAACATCAATCCTTCCAATGAATATTCAGAGTTGCTTTCCTTTAGGATTGACTGGTTTGATCTCCTTGCAGTCCAAGGGACTCTCAGGAATCTTCTTCAGTACCATAATTCAAAAGCATCAGTTCTTGGATGCTCAGCCTATTTTATGGTCCAGCTCTCACATCCGTACATGACTACTGGAAAAGCCATAGCTTTGACTATACTTTTGTTGGCAAAATGATGTCTTTGCTTTTTAATATGGTGTCTAGGTTGTCATAGCTTTCTTCCACTGTCAGTATCTGGCAGTATCCACCAAAGTAGAACGTTTGTTACAGTTGATCAACCTGCATTGACACTACAGTGAATTATTGCTGAAGTCCACTGTTTACTGTGGTTCTGGTGTCATACAGAGAATCCTCTGTGCCTGTTCACCCCCTCCCGCTCCCTTAACCCTTGGCAGGCAGTGATCATTTTGCTGTCCCCACAGTTTTACCTCTTCTAGAATGTCACATAGTTGGAATCATGTAGTATGTGGCCTTTTCAGATTGGCTTCTTTCACTTAGTAATATGCGTATAAAGTTCCTCTGTGTGTTTTTGTGGATTAATAGCTCATTTCTCTTTAATGTTCAATAATATTCCATTTCCTGGGTGTACACAGTTTATTTATCCATTCACCTACTGATCAACATCTTAGTTGCTTCCACGTTTTGGCAGTTATGAACAAAGCTGCTGTAAATGTCCATGTGCAGGTTTTTGTGTGGACGTAAGTTTTCAGCTCACCTGAATAAATACCAGGGAGTGTGGTTGCTGGATGATACGCTAAGAGTATATTTAGTTTTGTAAGAAACCACCAGACTGCCTCTCGAAGTACCTGTGCCATGCTGCATCCCCACCAGCGAGGAGCAGAGTTCCTGCTGCTCCCCACAGGTGGCATTTAGTGTTGTCAGTGCTCTGGGTCTTTGCTGGCCTAACCGTGTAAAGTGGTACCTTTGTTATTTTAATTTGTAATTCCTTAATGCTGTACGATGGTTAGCATTTCATATGCATACTTACCATCTGTGTGTCTTTTTTGGCATATGTATAAGTGTTTTCCCCATTTTTTAATTGAGTTTATTTTCTTATCATCGAGTCACTCCTTTTTTTATTATTAATTTTTATTGGAGCATGGTTGCTTAAGTGTTCTGTTACATTCTACTGTACAGAAAAATAAATCAGCCACTCCTTGCTTTTTAAAAATACCTTTTTTTCCATTGCTTCTCAGACACGACTTTCTCCAGTTTTCCTCCTGTCTCACTGACTGCACCTTGTCTGCCAGATGTCTCTCTCTCTGCTCATCCTGTAAATCCTTTCTCTTCACACCATCTTTATGAGCATATTACTCACTCTCATGGCTTTCGTCATTGCCATGATGTCCCGAGTTAACACTCAGTTAACTCTGGCCCAGACCTCTCCTCTGGGGGTGAGGGGCTTATATATCCAGTCAGTTGCTAGCATCAGCTTCACTTGCATGTCTCTAACTCACATTGGAGGAAACA